TCGGGGAACTGACCCCTGCGCTTGGGACAGGCCTGACTGATGGAGAGGCAATCCCATTCTCCTAGCCAGTGACTGTGGCAGGAAAAGGCAGATGCTTTCAGTTTGGACAATAAAATGCTGAGAGACCTACAAAATGGAGAGAGAGGGAGAGAGAGAGAAAAAAAACTTCCAGGAAAGTTGGTCTTCATTCTTAGGAGGAAATAAGAAAAAGCCAGTCCTTTTTCCATTGGACTTGAAAGAGCAAGCACAAGGGGCTGAGGATTTAGCTCAGGGGCACAGCACCTGCCTGGCAAGCGCAAGGTCAGGAGTTACAGATTCCCAGTACCCGAAAAAAAACAAAACAAAACAAAAAACCACACACACACACACACACACACACACACACACACACACACACAAATGAAAGAGCAAGCACAGGAGAATGAGCCCAAGACAATGCCACGTCTGTGGGTGGCAGATCATTATGCTGGACAGAAGCTGGGTTGTCTTCTGTTTTTGTTTTTGTAGATTGTTTGTTTTGATTTCATGTCCTGTTTTGGGTGCTGGGGATTGAATCTAGGGCCTCACACATGCTAGGCAAGTTTTCTACCACTGTGCTGCATTCCTAGCCTCTCCTCTTCTTTTTATTTTGAGGCAGGGTCTCACTAAGTTGCCCAGGCTAGCCTTGACTTGAAATCCAGCTGTGTCAGCCTCCTGAGTAGCTAGGACTACAGGCATGCTTCACCATGCCCAGCTTGGGTTCTTTTTTTTTTTTTTTTTTTTTTTCTGGGTTTTTTTTTTCCAGTACGGGGAATCGAACTCGTGACCTTGCGCTTGCCAGGCAGGCGCTGTGCCACTGAGCTAAATACCCAGCCCTCTAAGCTTGGGTTCTTTATGACTCTGTTGAGCACTGCTTGTTTCTATGCTAAGGCCTTTGCACTTGCTTCTCCTCTTCTTGCAGCTTTCTTCTACAGATTCTCACAAGGCTAGATCCTTATTGCTATTCGGCTAGATCCTTGTCACTGTTTGTCTCGGCCTGAATGGTCACCTCCCTAAAGAGGCTTTTATGTCACCAGTGCCCCAGCCAGTCACTATCATCTCGTCCTGTTTTATTTTCTTTATACCACTATTTGAAATCATCTTCATTTGTTTACTTACTATCTGGCTCCTTCCCACTAGAACGTAAGCATCTGGAGTATGGAGACCTTGTCTGTTTGGTTGTCTTGTTTTTCTGTCTAATAGTGTCAACACAAAGTAATGTTCAATGCAAGGTTTCAGTATTAATCAAAAAACAATGGTTACATTTGTTGATTTTCCCCCTTACCCCCTTCCCACTAAATTGAAGCTCTGTGAATTTAGGGGCTGAAGTCTTACTCATTTTTTTTTACTTCAAGCGCATATCCTAGTACAGTTGCTTCCAAATAGTAAGTGCTCAATAGGTAGTTGAATGAATGAACATGGGGTTGATTTTAGAGAAATATAATGCCAACTTGAATAAACCCTTGAGACTTAACCCACTTCACCTGTTCTTGGTTATTTGCTTCCTAGACTTAGCCTACTTTTCTTGCTTTTAGTTGACTTTTCTTAACCTTTAGAAATACTATTTCATTTGATTAATTTGTGTAGATAAACCACTCTCTCACTAACCCACTGCATTTGTTCATTCTTCTACCAAAAATGTTAGATTGTTCCATTTATCTTCTCCTACATAAATTAGCACAATGGATATTTCTGTATATCACTTCTTTGTGCAGAACTAAGAGGAATTATGTGAAGAATATGTGATCTCTAAAATAATTAGATGTTCCCAAATTACTCTTTCAAGTTGTTGCTCAATGCATAGTACATAAAACTTTTTTTCTATTGTCTATTTTTTATTTTGCACTTTATTTATATTTTAGGTTTCTCATATAAGAGAAACCATGTGATATTTAAGTTGGCATGTCTGATTTAATTCACTTAACATGGTCTCAAGGTGCACCCATTTTCCTACGAATGCCTCCAGTTTATTCTTCTTTACGGCAGAGTAGTACTCCATTGTGTATAAATACCACATTTTCTTTATCTATTCATCTGTTGATCGACAAATAGGCTGCTTCTAAGATTATAAATTTTGCTGCTATAAACATGTGTGGTTGTATCACTGTCATATGATGGCTTTAACTCTTTCCAGAAGATGCCTAGAAGGGAGGTAGCTAGGTTGAATGGAATTTGTATTTTTAGTGTTTTGAAGAATCTCCATACTGATTTATTTCCATAGTGGCTGTCCCAGTTTACACTCATGCCAGCAATGAAGATGGGTTCCTCTTTCCCTGAAGCCACTCCAGCATTTGTTATTTGGTTTCTTGAACATAGTCATTTTTTCTGCAGTGAGATGGAGTCTCAGTGTGGTTTTAATTTGCACTTTGCAAATGGCCTGAGATGCTAAACATTTTTCATGTATTTACTGGTCACTTTTACTTCTTCTGAGAAGTGTCTATTCATTTCATATTGGGTTATTTCATTTTGACTGGGTCTTTAAATTTGGGGGGGTCTTTTTTTTTTTTTAGTTCTTTATATATTCTATTAGTCCTTTGAGGAATAGTTGGCAAAAATTTTCCTGCTCTGTAAGTCATCTGTTCATTCCATTGGTTGTTTCCTTTGCTGTACAGAAGCTTTTTAATTTTTTGGTATTGTTTCTTGTGCAGCGGGGTTCTGTTCAGAAAGTCCTTGCCTATGTCTGTCTTCAAGAGTTTTACCTTTTTAGGATTGGGTGTTGTGGCACTTGCCTGTAATCCCAGAACTCAGGAGGCTGAGGCAGGAAGATTGCTACAAGTTTGAGGCCACCTAGAGTACACAGTAAATTCAAGGCCAGTCTGAACTACATAGTGAGACTTTGTCTCAAAACAAAACAAAACAAAACAAAACAAAAACTGTCTTCCAGCAGTATTTCTATTTTAATATTTAGATCTTTGATCCATTTTGATTTTAACTTAATGCATGCTGAGAGATATGGGTGGTTCAATCTTCAGAATGTGGATACCCAGTTTTCCCAGCATCATTTGTTAAAAAGGCTATCTTTCCTCCAGCGAAAATATTTAGCCCCCTTGTCAAAGATAAGATAGCTGAGTGTGTCTGGAAGAGTTGTTTCTGCACCCCCTTTCCTGTTCCATTGGACCATAAGTCCGTTTTTTGGCCAATACCATACCATTTTTGTCACTGTGGCTTTGTAATATACCTTCGGATCTGGGATTGTAATGTCTGCCATTTTGCCCTTGTTGCCCAGAATTGCTTTTGCTATCTAAGTCTCTTCTGGTTCTGTATGAATTTTAGGATTGTTTTCTCTAGTTCTGTGTGGAATGCTATTAGTATTTTGATTGGGATTGTATTAAACCTGTTTAACAGTTTTCAAAGTATGGCCATATCAACTATATTGGTTCTGCCTATCCTGGGACAGAGAATATCTTTCCATTTTCTGATTTCCTCTGAGGTCTCATTTTTCAGAGTACTGCAGTTTTCATTGAAGATGTCTTTCACTTCCTTAGTTAGGTTAATTCATACTCAGTATTTAGTACTCGATAGTATTTTATAGTATTTAATACTTAGTATCTAACTTTTCTTGATGCTATTGTGAAAGGCATTGTTTCCCTAATTTCTTTCTCGGCAAGCTTATTATTGGTGTACAAGAATGCTACTGATTTTTGAATGCTGATTTTGTATCCTGCTGTGCTACTCACTTTAGTTAACTTTTGAAATCATTCATTTTAGAAGTATGGATAGCATCTCTGATATGTGGATCGGGGCAGTAAGGTTGAAGTCTGACTACATATGTGCAGGGCACCAAATACTCCATTCATGTTTCCCTACTCCTCTGCACGTAAGTACCTCCAATCCCGATCTTCAGGGAGGTGGATTTGAGATTTGCTTCTCTGTCTCCACACATGGCCGCTTCATGAGTAAACACTTTCTCTTTTGCAAATCTCATTTCTATAATTGGTGTATTGGTAGCAGGTGAAACAGGCCTGGTTCAATAACATCATTTGAAGATGATTCTCTTCCATTTTATCATTGGGACATTTTGTGCATATGTAATATTCCCATGGATAAAGGATTCGTGTCCTGCAAAGTGCTTTATGATCTGACCTTAATATCTTTTCAATATTATTTTTCACCCCCTATATGCTCACTTTCTCTCACATTTGCTATATACTCCAATCACATAAAATTCTAGAACAATTGGTTTTTATGGGAAAGATAGTCCTAAAACCTACAAATAAAAGTTAAAACCTCCACATTTCAAGATTACTTTTTATCATAGCAATAAGCATAAATTTATTGAAGATACTATTTTTTGCAGTTAAAATGGCTCCGCCATGTGGCAATAATATAAATAGCTTCTAGTTCACCATCACCAGGGGCTGGGGGTTTAGCTCAGTGGCACAGTGCCTGCCTGGCAAGCACAAGGTCATGAGTTCAATTCTTGGTATCGGAAAAAAACAAAACACACACACAAAAAGAAAATTAGTTCACCCTTACCAGTTTTTGTTTTTGTTTTGAGACAGGGTCTCCTTGTGTAATTCAGACTGGCCTTGAACTCACTATGGAGCCCAGGCTGTCTTCAAACTCGTGGCAACCTTCCTGACTCAGCCTCAGTGCGGGATTATAGGCATGCCCGAGTCCCATCACAGGTTTTGAAAGTATACAATTCCTGAAAATTGTTAGGGCTTTACATTGCTTGTGATTTCATGTAGAGAGGTGTTAATAGTTTATAACAAATTATTCCAAATTTGCATAATTCAAATATAGGTGGACCTCTGTATCCATGGGCTCCAATTCCAAAGATTCTACATTGGATAATGTTTCAAAATGAGACAAAATAGAAAACCTTAGACATAATTTACAACTAATGCAGAATGTACTGAAATAGTTAAAATCTGATTCTGAAGCTCTTTAGGCCAAAGGAGGAAGAGACAAGAGTTGGTTCAAGGATGTGTTTAGGAGTGGCAAGGAAAGTAGAAATCAATCCTAAACTGTCAGCTTACCTGTACTCACATAGATATATGCTTCATTCTGGAGAAAAATTGTCGTAAAAGGATACAGGCTCCTTGGGGCCCTGGAAGTCCTAGGATTGAAAATTTAAGTTTCAGCAGGTCAGTTCTGGCTGTCTTTACCCATTCTGAGGATGATGTTAAAGGAGGAGGTAATGGTGAAAGGGGAGATTTAATCTTCCTAAACTCTACATAAGTCACTTTACATAAAGAATTTTAAAACTCAAATATCCACTGGCAATTAATGTAAATGACTGAAACAAACTATAAAGAAAATCACGGGGGAGGGGGCTGCATGTGGTGGCACATGCTTGTAATCCCAGCACTCAGGAGGCTGAGGCAGGAGGATTGCTTCTCGTTCAAGGACAGCCTGGGCTACATAGTGAGGTCAGGACCAGCCTTAACTATAGACAAAGTCCCTGTCTCAAAAAAAAAAAAAAAAAAAGATCACATGGACCTCCTTGACATAGGACCACCCCCTTAGTTTTTGTTTTTGTTTTTGTTTTTTTACTTTTGATGGATAAATTATTATTATGGGAAAATAACAATATTTTTAAGAGAAGCCAGCTATCCAGACTTGTAAAACTTCTAAATTCTAAATATTGGCTCAAAAAATTTAAATCATTTTAAACAAAACATCTAGGAGCTGAATTTGGCCCATTAGGCTACCAATGTGTGCACTCTAAAGTTTACTATAAGGTCTGGTAAAATATCAGGAGGGTTTCTGACCAAAGCAAATCTCAGTTGTGAATGAGTTTTATAGAATTGCAAAATGGTGGTTAGACTCTAGTGCCTTTCTTTTGTATATGGTATTTCCTTTGCCAGACTTCTATCCAACATAAAAACAAACAACAAACTGACCTTTTCCATCAAAGCAGAAGCAGTTGGTCAACATATGTTAAGAACAGCGGGCTGGGGATATAGCTCAGTGGCACAAGCACCTGCCTGGTAAGCGCAAGGTCTTGAGTTAATTTCTGGTATCAAAAAAAAAAAAAAAAAAAAAAAAAGTGAACAGCAAAAGAGGAGAAGCATAGGATGGAAAATTTGCCTTGAGACTGGCCCTGTTTGCTTCAACTGGATGGAACCCCATAGAAGCAATAGGTCAATTGCTTGTGTGCAGTGGCAGGTGGTGCTGCTTCATAGGTTTATTAAAGGTTTTCTTTTCTAATATTGTGGATTTTGTACTAGAGCTGTGTTCCTACTTGTTTTGTTCTGTAAGGGGCCACTGGACCCCACAATATCTCTTCTGCCTTGAGTTAGAGGGATATAGTAGGTTCTAAGAATTGTCTTCTTGGGGGAATGTCTTCCTGGATGGGTCATTGAGGGTGAACCTATTCTGTACCTCCTTTCCATGCCTACCTGGGGGCTGAGTGCATGGGTGTGAATTGCTGGGTGGAAAACTGGTGTAAAGGTTGCCACCCTGAGAATGAGGGCAGAGCAGGAGATCTCGCAAAGAGATGATGATAGGAATCTCTGGGCATGGGGTGGAGAAATATAATCACTGACATGAAAAGGTTGGCAATAGTTGTAAAACTGGTCCCCTCCACCTTGCCCACTGATTCCATCTCTTCCTATTTTACAAAGTTCTTAATATTAGCAATTGTGCTCTCTCTCACATACACTTAATCTCTTATCTATACTGGTCCCTCCCTTGTACCCTCCAGTAGAAATAAGTTTTCCTTTCCATCTGAAGATCTTCCCTAATACTTACCTCCCTCTCCACTTGCTACTGTGTGGCTTCTGCCTGCCTCGCCCTTCCACTGCAATTGCCCTTCCCAGGCAGTCTCTGACCCAGTTGTCAAATCCAACCTTACTTGATTGGTCTGCAGCTTGCAGCCTCATTCATCATCTTCTTGACTTTCTGGGATTCCAGGACACAAATCCTCAGGTCTTCTTCAACTTCTCTGACTGTTCCTTCTGGGTGTTTGTTTCTGCTGGCTCCTCTGTTTTGAAGCTAATGCTAGCCCCTCAGTGGCATACCATACCCTGGCTGGACACATTCCTGGGTTAGGGCAGCCCTTCCTAAAAGGAACAGAAAGGAAGGACAAAATAAAACTGGTTTCCCAGTGGGTTCCCTCGAAATGACCCACCCAGGAAGACATTTCCCTAAGAATAGAATTCTTGGGACTTACATTCCTCCAACTCAAGGTGAGATAATCAGCTTGATATTCTTACGCCCTGAATACCCTGTGCAACTATATGCTGCAGCCCGGAGTACTACACTGGGTGCTCATCTTTTTCTTGTTCTATCGTCTTTTCCTCTGCAACTTTGTTTGCTTTCATGGTTCTAACTCTAACCTATGTTTTAACTAATCTCTAGAGATCTTTTCACGTGCCTCTTGGACTTCTCTACCTGGGGTCACTGTTGGCACACCAAACTTGCCACTGTTCAAACTGAATTCAGATGTACAACTTGCATGCTCCCAAATACGACTATGTCTCTGCATTTTCCCTACTATCTTCTTGTACAACTGAAAATTTAAAGGTTACCTATGTCTCTTCCCTTTCTGTGGCCTAAAGCTTTTGGACTGGGAATGTAGCTTAGGGGTAGAGAATTTGTGGACTATGTGTGACGCCATGGGTTCAATCCCAAGTATCGAAAGGGAAAGACAAAAAAGCAGCAGCAATAACAGAACAATCCAACACAGTCTATGACTTATGTTATCTTCCAAGATACCGGAATAGCTTTGTAACTGGTTTCCTTCTCCCCAGAATCTCTCCTTTCTCAGTCACCCACCTTGCCTTCCTCCCCTGGCATCAGCTTTTTCTTTACACAGATCTGAGCGTCTTGTTCCTTTGTTTAAAACCCTATTTTGGCTTCTAATTAAGCACAAGATAAACTCCAGATGCTAGGCGTGGCATATAAAACCCTTTATGTCCTGGATCAAACCTACTTTTCCTGTCTTACACCCTGCCTCTGGTCTCAACACATTCCTTTGTTTTAACCACATCAGATTATGATGCACAATGACTTGAACACGATTCTGCCATGTGCTTTCATGTCTCTGCGCTTTATGCTGGTGCCTTCAATGCTCTTCTGGTTTTTGACTTATAAAATCTCATCTGCTGTTCAAGATCACACTATCACTTATTTTTCACCACTGTAATCCTGGGGTTTGAACCCAGGACCTCATGTATGCTAAGTAAACTCTCTCCAAGACTGAGCCAAACTCCCCTTAGTCTGGACACTTTTTTTTTTCAGGTATCCCTATCCTTAATTAACAGCTACCCATTGCTTCTACAGCACTGCTGGTATGTTAGTTTACACTGTCTGAAAGTTGTTTTGTACCGCTTTTCCACTTCTTTATGAGTTTCTTAAGAACAAGTTTAAGCTTTTTCGTCTTCATATCATCAACAGCGTGGTATGTTAGATATGGAATAAAAACATGATTTTAATTAGGCAGGAAGCTTAAACATTGTTTTGTGAAAGAACTGATGGTTTCTTTCAGCATAATTTTTAGCCTGTTCCTTTTTTTTTTTTTTTTTTCAGTTACTGGAAGAATCTCCAAATAAGTTGGTTGCTGGGCTTCCACAGAGCCAGTTGCTATGTCATATTACCATTCTTTAGCAATGTCTCTCTACGGACATAGAAACTCTGATTTCTCAACTGACTGGTGCCTGTGTATGGATTTTTTTTTCACGTATTTCTAAGTACCAGTGATGAGCTTCATTCTAAGACCTATATTCTAGGTTCCACAGAAAACTCTCCTTGTTTCAAATAGCAGGATTTTAGTGTTAAGGCAGTTATATGTGTACTGTGGGTCCCCCAAACCTTGCAATAGTACTGTAATCTTCAAAGCCTGGGGAGGCTAGCATTTATTGGTTTTTCTAGACAGCCTGGCAAAACAGTATTGATGCAGAAGCCTGAGCTGTATCATTCTCTTTAGTATATGCTGGGTTAAGCAGGAGCATTCATGCACTCCACGAAGCCCAGAATGTGTAGTTTTCTTGAAATGAGCAGATGTATATCTGTAGAACCGTGGTAGTAGCTTCTGAGTGGGTGGGAAAGGGATTGACTCCAATTTCCCCTCACATGTAAGAACTTGGTTCTGACTAGAATCCAAGCAACAAGTTGCCGTTGAAAATGCAGTGATTGGCCAGCAAAGGACGCCTACAGGAAGAGCCAGTGGGAGGATTTCTCGGGATATGTCAACCCATCGCAAGCTCTAGGCTTCGCGTTGAGCCCTCAATGCCTTTGGGCCTTTCAGACTTCTTAGAAGATTCATTGAAGTCAATTCCTGATGCTAAAATATTCCGGGTCTGCACAAGGTATGGAAAATCATCAGCCTCCCGCCTCAAAGCGGGACTGGTCCCACGAGGGTGGCCCTGTGACCAAGACTAAGGATCGCAGATGGCCGAAGGCGCCGGCGCCGCCACGACACAAGCGGCCACACACCACGGCGAACCCGGGCGGTACTAACCTTGAGACCCGCCCGTGCGGGGGCACTGGCCACACAGCGCGCGTCAGCGAGGACGCCCCCGTCGGCCCTCCCCCGGGCGGGGCCAACCCCGACGGCGCTGAGTCAGCAACGCGAGGGGGGAGTTTTGTCCCTCCGCGGACCCCGTTTCTCTAGGCCTTAACCTCCTCGCAGCCAGCGAGCTGGTTTCCTTTTTCCGGCGCTCCGGGTGCGAGAGCCGGGTCTGGCCACCCAGGCAGCGGGCTGCAGTGCAACCCCAGCTCTCACCTGAAGACCTTCCAAACTAACGTTATCCCGGCGGGCAGTGTGGGCGCCATGAGCAACGCGGGTGAGGTGCCGCTCTTCCCTGCCGAGCGCCTGCCGGTGTCCTGTCCGGGGGTTCCGCGGCACCCGGGAGGCCCGGCGGCGCCGAAGGCCGGGGAGGTGGGGGGGCGCCGGGACCGGGTCGATGGCGGGGATGGAGTGGCCTGGAGGGAGGCAGCAGCATCTTGGAGGTGGACGCCGGTAAAAGGCTTCCCTGCTTCAGTGGTCACCTCGAAGTTAGACCCGGGATGCGGGAGCCCGGGGGCAGCCCCTTCGCCGTCTTTTCGGTGTTACCATTCTGTTTGGTTCCCCAGCAGGACTCGATTCGGAGAAGGTCGCAACCCTGATCCAGAAACTGAATTCCGACCCTCAGTTTGTGCTCGCCCAGAATGTCGGGACCACACACGACCTGCTGGACATCTGCCTGAGGAGGGCCACGGTCCAGGGCGCGCAGCATGTGTTCCAGCATGTTGTGCCTCAGGAAGGCAAGCCGGTCACCAACCAGAAGAGCTCGGGTGAGACCTGAGACTTCCTGTATACTTTACTTGACTTTTCTGATAGCGATCCACGTTGGTGTGTTACTTAAGAAGGGCCTTAGGGGAACAGAGGTTTTACTGAAAGAGCTTGTGGTAAATCCGTAGAGTTAGGCACAGGTAAAAAGCTGACCTGAGAACATTATCTCTGTGGCTTGTTTTGCTGCTCTGTAGCTTGTTGGTACCTTTATAGGGTGAGCACTAAATTGTCCAGTCCGTCCTTATCTGTTTAAGCTGCGGTTAATTCTGTCCTGTGTTGATGTTACGTGATTGCGGCTCCGTGTCCTGTATACTTGTCAGTGCTCTTGGTCGCAGAACAGACCGTGCAAAAATGTTTATTCTCCAGAAGGTTCCCAGTATTGACCTGAAGGCATATACAAGTGTATGAAATAGAAAAGACAATATAATTACATCAGAATGCCATCAAATGTTATTTTTTAATATACTCCTTGGCTGGAGTTGATGTGCTCAGTTACCACCAATAGGCCAGTTTGTAGTACTAAAATTAAATTCTTGCCTTGCTGATTGGGAGTTCTTGTGTTGCTATCTACTGTCTAGCATTCTAAAATTCTCTACCGTGAAAGATTGGTTATCTGAGAAACTGAGGAGAACATTTTAACAACCAAATTTTTAAATATATATATATTTTTAAAAAGTCTTTCTCCCCAGACGTGGTGGCTCATACGTGTAATCTCAGTACTGAGAGTGCTGAAAAGTTTGAGGCAGACCTGGACTATGTAGGGAGTTTAAGGCCAACCTAGACTAGGTAGGGAGAATTGTTTTAAAAAAAGTCTTTCTCCAGTTAGAAACTCCTCCTAGTGTATCTTTATTGACAAAAAGCACGTTATTGTGTAATTGGAGCCAGTCAGACTCATAAAGTGTACGTTTAACATATATATGTAAATTATGCCTCCATACAATTTACTTTTAAATTTTAAGGGAAAAATTATGAACTTGCAATAATTAATGTATTGGGATGATAGAAGGTGCTTAGGGTAGCATGGGCCATCAGGTTACAGATCATCCAGTTACCTTTGTAATGTCACAGTACTCCTACATAGTTTAGGTTACCGTGACCTCCTAGGGGAAAATCTGGGAATGTTAACCTGGATCAGATTAGGTCTTATACATTGTCTCGCTTTTATTTACAAAAAATACAAATAGCACATGAGCTGTGTGATTTGTTTTAATGCAGTTTTCACATTCACATCCATATCCCTTCTACTAGAAATATATAATGTTTAGGAAAGAGGTGACATACAAATAAGCTTAAGGTCAAGATGAGCCATAGTGAGGCATCTGTGACTTTGAGAGACAATACTGAAGTTTTTTTTTTCTTTTCCTGTTACAAAATTATTTTTGTTCGGGGCTGGGGATTTAGCTCAGTGGCACAGCGCCTGCCTGGCAAGCGCAAGGTCGTGAATTCGATTCCCTGTACTGGAAAAAAAAAAACAAAAAAAATATTTTTGTTCAACATAGAAAATTTGCAAAATATCCACAGGAGATTTATTTGTGTGTGTGTGTGTGTGTGTGTGTGTGTGTGTGTATGTGTATAGTTAAGATGAGTTGATACCTCATACATTTTTAGACAACCTATGTACTTTATTCTCTTGCCTCTATATTGTGAAAATAGTTTCATATGAGTAAAACCATTGTACCCAAGTATAAATAAAAAAATTTTCCTCTAAATTGACCTTCAGAAAAGAGTTGTCCTATCTTCAGGGCTTCACAAAGACTTTCAGAATGGGCATAAGTATGTTAATTTATCTTATAGTACAATTTGGCAGACACTACTCTAAAGTCAGTCCATGCTAGTTTTAGGTGCTTACAGAAAATATTTGATTGAATCATTTTTTTGAAGAGGCAAGAAAAAAAAATTGAATACAGTATATTCCTAGCACATAACCTTGCATAGAAGTATTGGATATCATTGTAAGGCTTTAAATCAGTAAGGAAGTGATGACATTGTAGAGTTTCTGATTATACATTTGCAGGGTAAATGAGGAATGTTGTTGTATAGTTGATGCTGGTATAAAAGTTTCAAAGACAACATCATACATAGATTTAAACATTGCTGTGACTGAAACTTACTTTGTTCCATTTAGTGGAAGAAAGATGATGTGTTCTGATTGAAAGAGTGGATCTAATGGCAAAGGCACTGATGCCAAGATGCTTGTAAAGAGTATGAATCAGTCTGAAAATAAAGTGGGGAAAACAATTTCTAAGTATATGTGTTTATATGATTTTAATAGGTAAACATTTACTGTTTCCTCCCTGTATTTTTTTAAATGCAGTAAATACATACATTTTATGGGGTGGGATGGGATCTCTATGTGTTGCCTAAGCTGGTCTCCATCTCCTGGACTCAAGTGATTCCCCTGCTTCAGCCTCCCAAATATCATCTGTATTTTTAAATACTTATATAATCCAGTTAGCCAAATACTTTTTTTTTACTCATTTTTGGGAGGATAGGGAATTATATTAGGTTCACTTTTTATTGAAGCATATACTATATAATTCTATATTAAAGGGTAAGGACTTTTTAAAGTTTTTACTAGATATTGCCAACTTAGTTCTTCATCCAGAATAACAGTGCTTATTTCCCCAAGTCTTTACTAATGGTGAATATTAGCAATTTTTTTAAAAAGGTGTTTCTTCACTTAACATGTGTTTTATATTTTTTTTATTAAGATGAATGTTAAAAAATAAGTCTCTGCTATTTAAGTCTTTTCTAGCCTCCGAATAATTTAGGATCTCTGTTCATGTTTTTCTAGTGGTGTTTCTTTTCCTAAGGTGGCTTACTTAGGTGATTTGTAATGGATTCTTCATGTGATGTGTAATAAGTTTTTTTAGCCAGGTAGCATGCCCAGCTATAGTCCCAGCTTCTAGATGGGACTGAGATGGTAGGATTGCTTGAGCCCAGTAGTTCAAGATAAGTCTAAGCAACATAGTGAGACCCCAATCTCAAAAAAAAGAGCTTTTTTAAATAGTAAAGATCTTAAACCTATATGAAAAATCTTAAACCTTTGCATGTATATTGCAAATAGTAATTAGTAGTTGTCTAATTTTAATGTATCTGATCTTCCTGACTTAGTTTAAATTTTTCAGATCCTCGCAAAGGTTAAGTATTGGGAAATACATCTGAAGCAATAGTATCTATATGAACACTCATCACAATTTCTTGTTGTGCTTTCTTGTTTTAGGGCGATGCTGGATCTTTTCTTGTCTGAACGTTATGAGACTTCCATTCATGAAAAAACTAAATATTGAAGAATTTGAGTTTAGTCAGTCGTACCTCTTTTTCTGGGATAAGGTATGAGACTGACCTAGCATAATCTTTTTGTTTTGATATCAGCTTTGATAGGAATTGGTTCTTCCTTCCTTGCTTTTCTTTTTTTTTTTTTTTTTTTTTTCTGGTACTAGAAATTGAACTCAGGACCTTATATTTGCCAGGTAGGTGCTGTGCCGCTGAGCTGTCTCCCTGGCCCCTTCCTTGCTTTCTAGTTATAGTTATTGTTTCATTGCAGGGGTGACACTATGTGTTCAAATTTCCAAAGTGTCAAAAGTTGACTCTTTTGAAAGACAAAATTGCTTTTGGTTGTCAGGTGGCTGCTTTTTACAGTAAAATAATGAGTCTACTATTGACTCACCGTGCTGGTTACAACTTTCATTATTTTAAATTCTTAATTTTGTTCTCAATAATTTCCCTTTTTGTCATCTTTACTTAGATTGTTTGGTCTGTCTAGGACCTAATTTCCCTTCTCTGGTTTGTGCTTATCTGAAAAACTGTAAATAAGTTTACTTGGTTTTTAAAATCTTTAAAATGTCTCTTGTAAGTATCTATTAGTTGTTTGTTGATTAAAAACTTGTTTTCATATTGGAATGTTTGTTTTTGTGGTGCTGGGAATTGAACACAGGGTCTCCAGTATGCTAGGCAAAAACTACCACTGAGCTACACTTCCAGCCCAAACTTCAAATATTCTTATGACGCCTGACACAGATATTTAATTGCCAGCTTTAAATTAAAAATACCTGTTATGTTGGGACCATGGTAGTTCCAAAGCTTCTATTCTGTTGTTAAGGCCAACAAAGTTATTGAGTGTCTTTTTAATTTTATTTAACTTTCTCACTCTAGGTTGAACGCTGTTACTTCTTTTTGAATGCTTTTGTGGACACAGCCCAGAAAAAAGAGCCTGAGGATGGGAGGCTAGTGCAGTATTTGCTTATGAACCCAACAAATGATGGTGGGCAATGGGATATGCTTGTCAATATTGTTGGTAAGAACCTTTTTCTAATGGAGCTAAAGGATAAGATGGAGAAGAAATGATAGTATTAAATAAAACTATCCATAAAAAAAGCTTATTTCTTGTCCATTGGTATAATCAAGAATCACATTAAAACTAAACTGTATGAGAACAGCCTCATTCAAAACATTATCTTTTGGGGTAACCTCATCATCCTGTGTACTCCTATTTAATAATGTGAAGCCTAAGATTTTCTGAGTTAAAGCAGCAAAATATGACGTACCTTTTAAAGCAATTAGGTATTTTTGTCAGAGTGTCTAATGCTAGAGTGCACTTTTACCTTAGTGAACAATAAAATTTGTTTTCTTTTAGAAAAATATGGTGTTGTCCCTAAGAAATGCTTCCCTGAATCTCATACAACAGAGGCAAGCAGAAGGATGAATGATATTCTGAATCACAAGGTATAGCATATGGAACGGAATGGGATTGAATTTGGTATACATACCGTAAAACTTCTAAGTAGTTTTTTAAATGGGTTGTTGGGTATTTCCTGGGAATACAGTTTGTAATAACTACTGATGTCAGTGTCTATCAAAAAAGCAGTGTAAAAAAAAAAAAAGCAGTGTAGTTACTTACTAACTTTATGAATAGTTGAAATTAGGGTTTGAGTTTTCTTAATCTTAATATGGTCCACAAGCATACTAGGTGCTGTCCCTTTTTAGTACAGATGGGCTGAAATAGCTTTATGTACTAGTAAGTAAATAAATAATTAAATAAACAAACAAACAGAACCCCAAAACTAATTATAAGGCTTCCTTAAAAAGTATTCTGAGTTTTCATACTTCCCTGGACCACATCAATGAACACACCACTGAAGATTTGCTATAGTCACTAAACTGTTTTTTACTGTTTCAGTTATCTTTATGAATCATTTTCCTGAGTTGGGGATATAGGTCAGCGGCACAAGTGCCTATCTGGCAAGCACAAGGACCTGAGTTCAATTCCCGGTACCAAAAAAAAAAAAAAAAAGAATAATTTTCCTTCTCCACATAACCCATTTTCCCAAGCAGGGTTGTAAAGCCTGTAAGGATGCTACTTTGCTAGCCAAATTTCTTTTTTGAGAACTGGGATTTGCCTGAATCTAAAGTTCTTATCTATGGGGTTAAAACTGGACATGTCATTTCTGGGAGAAAGATTGCATTTTAAAATAAATTTAGGTATGTTTTCCTAATATTAAAAGTAGGTTATTTTCTACCCAGCGACCTTGGGAATCTTATCTAAAGGGTAAAACATTATTAATAGTATAGCTTTGGATTCCCTTGATTTGGAGCCAGATCCTCTTTAGCACTATGATTAAATTTCAGACTGGCCTTTTTGCATGCAACAAAAATGAAAATTATACTGGAAGTTGACATAGCCGTGGTCATAGTTATTTGACAGAGAAAGGTAAAGTAGGCAACTAATAAAATTCTAAGTAAAAATTCTAAAAAAAATCTATTAGAATGATTTAGTGCCTGAAATCATCTTGTCTCCTGCTTTTTCTAAGAGTGATAAGGATTGTGGAATTACTTCTTCTGTGCACTTATGGAGGGCACTGTCAGTTGCAGAACCTGGAGCAGTTTTATGTAGTGTTCTTTGGAAATAATCCACATCTCTCCTTAGACAAAATATTTTTGCTGTATATTAAGTGAACTAATTGGAGGGAAACATACTTTTAAAAATAAATTTTGCCATAGGCTTTGGGTAAGTTATACTTCAAAATAGAACTAGCATTGATTTGTTAGGCTTATTTATAGTTGGGATACCTATTGGAGTGCTGAATTAAGTTTCTGTCATAGATGAGAGAATTCTGTATACGACTACGGAACCTGGTGCACAGTGGAGCAACCAAAGGAGAAATCTCTGCTACACAGGATGCCATGATGGAGGAGGTAGTAACAATTAGTCAATTTTTATGACTCTTTGACTATTCCTATTTGTTAAACCAATTGGGAGCATGTGGAATATTTAATTGAATAAAAACTACTTTTTCACAGCTGAGGCTTAAACTTGTTTTGCATTTTAGTATAGATTTTTAAAAATGTATTGTGTAAATACTGAATACCTTCTGTGGGTTTAGTACTGAAGAAACAAAGATAAGAAAGCCAGTCTCTGCTGTCAAGGATCTCATTCTTGGAGAACATAATACACATGAATAATTATAGTGACTCCTACACAAGATAAGTAAAAATGATTTGGTGATTGTAAAGGAGAAACTGATTTGGTGAGCTGAAGGTTATACAGGGAGGATGTTTAAGTCAGCTGTGAAAAGAGCAATGGGAATTTACCAGGTGGATAATAGGAAAGATCACTGCATGCAAAGGGAATTGTATGAACAGTGGCATTAAATGCCAGAACTTTTATTTTACTCTGTAGGAAAAAAGATGAGCTGTTGATGGTTATATCTGTTAAAGTATGTGAAAACATTTTGAGAAACTTAAAAAGCACCAAATATAAAGTAGTAATAGTACCTTTTTTCTTTTTTTTATTAGTACATTTTAGATATACATAATAACATTTATCATAGGGAATTTGTATCTGTACATGATATATCTTGTTGCTTCTTTTTTTTCCCCATTCTCTTCTCTTCCCTTGTACTCCTCTCACCCTTATTTACAAAAGCTTTGTTTCAATTTTTTCCTTTTTTTTTCTTGTCCCTTCCTTTCTTTCCCCTCCCCCTTCCCTTTTTCCCCTTCTCATTTGAACATTTTCTTCCCATTTCCTGATAGCTGTTACACATTTTCGTCGTTATTTACACTTTTGATTTCTCACACCAGAGAACTACTGCAGTATTTTACACATGCGTGTCCAATTTATTTCCCTTGACTATGATTTCAAAGTACATCCATTTACTAGAAAAGCCTCAAACTTACCTTTTTTATGACAGAGTAGTACTCTATTGTATAAAAAAACTACATCTTTATCCATTCATTGGTTGATAAGCATCTGGGCTGTTTCCAGGATTTAGCTGTTACAAACTATGCTACTATAAACATGGATGTGCATATATCGCTGTGCTATAATGCTTTTAATTCTTTTAGGAAGATACCAAGAAGGGGAATAACTTGGTCAAATAGAACCTGCAGTTTTAGTTTTGAGAGGAATCTCCATACTCATTTCCACAGTGGTGACACTAGTCTATTCTCCCACCAACAGTGAAGCAGTGTTCCTCTTTACAGCACTGCCAGCATTGGTTGTATGTTGATTTCTTGATAATAGCTATTCTTTCTGGAGTGAGATGGAATCTCAAGGTTGTTTTAATTTGCATCTCTCAAATGACCTATAATGTTGAATATTTTTTATATACGTATCTGCTGTTTCTACTTCTTTATCTGAGAAGTGTGTATTCATCTCAGATGCACATTTTTGGATTGGGTCTTTAAATTTGGAGGGTCTGATTTTTTTGAGTTTCTATATATTCTAGATAATAGTTTTTTGTCTGTGGAACAGCTGGCAAAAATTTTTCCTATACTATGGGTTGTCTCTTCACTCTTTTGGTGGTTTCTTTTGCTGTGTAAAAGCTTTTTAATAAGAGGAGATCCCATTTATTGATTCTTTGTGATAGTTCCTGTGTGATTGGAGTTTTGTTCATAAAGTCTATGCCTAAACCAGTGTCTTCAAGAGTTTTACCTATTCTATCTTCCAGCAGATTTAGTATTTTTGTTTTAATATTTAGATCTTTGATCCATTTCAACTTTAGTGCATGGTGAAAGATATGGGTCTGGTTTTAGTGTTTGGCATGTGGAAAACCAGTTTTTCTAGCACTGTTTATTAAAGAGGCTATTTTTCTTCCAGGGAAGGTGCTTGGCTCCTTTATCAAAGATAAGGTGACTTAGTGTGATTTGAGTTGTGTCTGCATCTTCTAATCTGTTCCATTGATTCTGGGGTCTGTGTTTTTGGCCATACCATGCCTTTTTTTTTTTTTTTTTCCCAATCACAGTAGCTTTGTAGTATAGTTTGATGTCAGGGATTGTGATGCCCCCAGCCTTGCCTTTGTAGCCCAGAATTGCTTTTGCTATTCTAGATCTCCTCTGGTTCCAAATTAATTTTAGGATTGTTTTCTCTAATTCTGTGGGGTATGCTTTTGGAATTTTGATTGGGATTATATTAAATCTGTCTAACAATTTTGGAAGTATGGCTGTTTTCTTATATTGGTTCTTCCTACTCAGGAACAAGGGATATCTTTCTATTTTCTAATACCCTCTTTGATCTCCTTTTTCAGAGTACTGTAGTTCAGTATAAAGGTCTTTCACTTCCTTTGTTAGATTGATTCCTACATATTTTTCTTTTTTTGGATGCTATTATGGAAGGTGTGGTTTCCCCAATTTCTCTCTCGGTGAGATTGTTATTTGTTTACAGGGATGCTACTGAGTTTTGAGTGTTGACTTTGTATCCAGCTATGCTACTGAATTTGGTTAGTAAATCTAGAAGTCTTTTGGTGGAGCTTTTGGGATCTTCAATATAGAGTATCATGTCATCTGAAAATAATAATTTAACTTCTTCTTTTCATACTCTTATTCCTTTTATTTCTTACTGTTGTCTAATGTTTCCAGAACTATATTGAATAAGAGTGGACAATCTTTTTTGGTACCGGCAATTGAACTCAGGACCTTGCACTTGTGAAGCAAGGTACTGCGCTGCTGAGCTATATTCCCAGGCCAAGAGTGGACAGTCTTATCTTGTTACTGATTTTAGAATGAAGACTTTCAGTTTTTGTCCACTTGGTATTATGTTGGCTGTTGATTTGTCATAGATGGCTTTTATCAGATTGATTTTTTTTTTTTTTGGTTTTTTTCTGGTACCAGGAATCGAACTCACGACCTTGCGCTTGCCAGGCAGGCGCTGTGCCGCTGAGCTAAATCCCCAGCCCCTATCAGATTGAGATAAAGACCAACTGTCCAATTTTCTGTAGGGTTTTTATCATGAATGGGTGTTGGACATGTCAAGTGGCTTTTCTGCATCTGTTGAGATGATCATACAGTTTTTATCCTTGGCTCTGTTAATATGGTGTATTATGTTTATTGGTTTGTATACATTTAAGCATCCCAGCATCCCTGGGAAGAATCCTACTTGGTCATGGTGAATAATCTTCTTGATGTTTTACTGTGTTTTGTTTGCCAGTATGTCATTGAGGATTTTTGCATCTATGTTCATGAGGGAGATTGACCTATAGTTCTCTTTTTTGGTTGGGCCCTTCTCTGGTTTTGGTGTCAGGGTAATTCTTGGTTCTGGGAATGAATTTGGGAGTATTCCCTTTCAAGTTCATTAAAGAGTTTGAGAAGTAGTAGCATTAGGTCCTCTCTAAATTTCTTGTAGAATTCAGCAGTGAATCTCTCTGGGCCTGAGCTTTTCTTTGTTGGTTGATTTTTAATTACTTCTTCAATTTCATTTACTGATACTGGTTTATTTAGATTTTTTTATATCTTTTTGATTCAGCTTTGGTAATTCATGTGTACCTAGCAATCTGCCTGTTTCTTCTGTGTTTTCCATCTTATTAGAATATAGGTTCTCCAAGTAGGTATGGATGATCTTCTGGATTTCGGCAGGATCTGTTGTGATCTCACCTTTTTCATTCCTAATTGTGTGAATTTGAGGCTTTTCTTTCCTTTTTTTGCCAAGGTTGGCTAAGGGTTTGTCAGTTTTATTTAATCTATCAAAGAACCAGCTCTTTGATTCATTGATTCTTTGTATTGTTTTCTTAGTCTCCATTGCATTAATTTCTAGTTTGATCTTTATAACTTCCTCCCTTGCATGAGCGTAAAAACAGGCAATCGAAAAAGAAAACAAAGCAGAGACAGAAACAAGGTCCACATTCCTCGCAGCCTGCAGGGTTCTGAGTAGGTTGATGGGAGATTAAGAAGAGACAAGACACATGGAAAAGAAAAGCTGGGAATGGGTGGGATGTGACTCTGATGGAGAGGCACAACAGCCCAACTCAGTCTGTATCTTTATTTATACAAAAGTAAAAAGGAGAAGCACGTGGCAGGGTTGAAAGTGCAAGGTCTCAGTGTTTCACTGAGATTGCTGAAAGAGAAACATCCTCAAGAGTTATCTGTGCTGTAGTTAACAGGGAGAAACACCAAGGCTGGACCCCTGTTGATATGCAACTGAGTCTAGAGGTCAGCTTATTTACATGATCTGCCTCTGGCTTTCCAGGTTCCTGGGACTGGCTTTGCTCTAGTGCCAAGGAATTTGCTGACCTCCAGCTCAGCCTTGGCTCAGCCACTCCTCACAAACATAAAAAAGAAGAAAAAAACCTGTCCACTTTAGGGTGTTACTGGTAGACAGAGTGGACAGATGAAACCCAGATCTGTGTTGATTAATCCCAACAAGCCAAAAATGGCAACCTGCAGCAAGCCTAAACTTTATTTTCACTGGTTTCTGGCTGTGAGGCTGGAACCCAATTTATTCAGTTTGCACTACTCACTACACTCTTGCGTGCTTGAACTCACCTCCCTACAGGCTTGAACTCAGCTTCTTGACCTTCTGCCAGCTTAAACTTGGTTCTGCCTCACCCTGACAGTGGGAACCACTAGGTGGAGCCAGCCCACAGCTACTCTGAGTCCTGGGCTCAGTTGACCCCTCTCCAAGATGGCTAACAGCTAATTGCCCTTTCCATGGGGGACATCTGAAACTAAATAATTCACCAGCCACTGCATTGTGCTGTGTCCTCCGCTCCATTCCACTGGTGCATTTCTCTGTGGAGGGCCTTGGGGTCTCCAGTAGTGACTATCCTCCTTCATCTTCGAGTTGTGAGATGGCTCAGGGAGAAAGTGCCCCTTGTCACCTCCTTCTGCACTGAGGTCTGTCTTTCTGCTCTCCTCCATGGGTTTCAGTTCTTGCTTCAGATCCTTGCTGGGTCCCAGGGACCCACTTTCTTCCTTGTCTTCCT